GCCATAACGACAATATAACTAGATATATTAATCAATAGCAACGTTCCGAAGCGACTCTGAATAGTAGTACGGAAGTGTGCAAGTATAGTATAATTTATTTTATAATTTAAATATATGAACATCATCAAACTTATTTTAAATATATTAAATAAGAAAAGCACGCAAAAAGTAATATTACAATATTACAATAAAATAATTTAATTAAAAGCAATGTATTATCAATGTTATAAATCTAAAGATATTAAAATAAATAAATAAATAGATATAGGTTATATTTTACTTATGAATTATATGCTATATAAATCAGATGTTTTTCATAAAAAATTTTAGATAAAAAGTTAGGATTTTTTCTTATTTTTAAGATAAAATGATTGAAGGATATTTGGCATGGAATATTACTTAAAAAAATTTTTTTTAATTATGTAAAAAAAAGAAATTTAAACAGATAATTTAAATAATTATATTTAATAACATTAAATTACATTAAATATAATTATTAATTATTATTATTATTAATTATTATTAATAATAATATAATTATTATTAATAATAATATAATTATTAACAATTTATTATTATTATTATTTATTATATTTAATAATTTTAAAAAATTATGTATTAATTATGTATTAATTTTCTATGTAACTTGCTATATATAACACTAACAGTACTTTTAACACTCGAAATAAATAATTAATCATTGGCCAATTGAACTGCTAGTAATTAATATCAATTTCACATGTAATTTATCAATATCCCAGCAAGCAAAATGCTAGCAATTTGCAGATAGCAACAAATTCAATCGGATATTGACTGCAAATCCATAGCCATCTATGTCCGCATTAGGCTCGGGATTTGTCGACAAAGCCTGCTGACATGCTATGCCAGCAGATTGGCGGCAGAAACCGAGCAGAGCTTGTTAACATACTATGCGAACAAATTGGCGGCAAAAATTGAGCAGAGTTTGTCCCAACTTTCTTGTTGGACGACGTTTTGCGTCAAATACACATAAAAATACATAAATAATAAATACATGTTTAAATTTTGATTGATTTTGCTTATATAGAAAGTTTGATAAATTTTGCATGTGAGAAACGGACGTCGGTAGTTTTATCTAGCGGTAGTTTTCCAATCATTTAACTATGCGTAATGATAGGCTCTGCTCGGTTTTTGCCAATCTGCTGGCATAGCATGTCAACAAATTTTGTCATATTTTTGAAGAGAGTTTGCTCACATTATCAGATATTACAGACTCTGTGTGCAATTTGTTGCCTTTTTGCCATCAAATGTTGATAATAGGTTCTGCTTTTTTGTCATCAAATATTGATAGTAGACTCTACTCAAAATCTGTTTCTGCAGATTTTGCTATCGGGGATTTTTTCATATATTTATTATATTACTTAAATTATTTATATATACTTACTCTGACATTGCACAGGCTTTATTTATCTTTTCTACTATTTCCCACTTTATCACTTTACTGTAAATATAATCTTATCATCGATAATTTATTTTTACATTCCTAAACTCATCAGAAAAGGATGTTAAAAAAAGAGATTTCATTGATTGAATACAACGAAAAATTATATGAAACCGAGTATATTCGTTACGATAACGACATCGAAATCATATTTTATATCGATATCGTTTTGTTAGTTTGTGTTACAGAATAGCTTTTTCGTTATAATATCGCCAGCACAAGCGACAATTGTTACTACGTAACGATAACGACATTGTCGTTACGAAGTTAGAATAGGCATACTGGCAGTGAATTATATTACGGAACGCAGCCATAGTATGTTTTTTGAAGCTCCAATTGAAATAATGGCTGACATATCTAATATTTAAAAAATATAATTTTACTTATTTTATTATACATATTAAATAACAATATATATATATAGATAAAAAAATAATTAATAATAATAA